CGACTAAGACGCTAGCGTGGGGGCACTCTGACATTATTTTTTCAAACGAGTTTTAGACAAAATGTGGAGTGGTTGATAAAGTCTTTGGAAGACTGTAATGAAAATGCCTCTGACGACCCTGTAGAGCGTAATTTAAAAGCTTTACTTGCAGCTGCAGACGAAATGGGTGTACATTAAGAAATAGAAATCACATTTTTTGCTTCACCCCAATTAATTTAATTTATAATTTGTATTTTTAAGTTGTATTATATTTTTTGTTTGTTACACAACCTGTAGTAATTATTTCAATATTAATACTTCAACTTGTATTATATATATAAACTACTGTTAGAAAAATTGTTGGATCCAAAAAAAATCATATGGAGTGTGTATTATAATTAATTGTAAATATTTTATATAAATAAAAAATGCATGTAATTCATTAAATATTTTTATTATGTGTTTTAATGACAGATTTATTAACATTTTTTATTAAACGTAATTAAAAAGTAGAAAGTGGTATTATTCACATAATGTTTTTCTCCGATATCCAAAACTTGTGTTTGTCACTAAATCCCAACCACTTCACAAATACCTCTTGTCCCATAGTCCCCTTTCGACGACGTATCACTTTTTCCACTAGGTATATGTCGGGATATTTAGCTCTCTGCAATTCCATTTCATAAAAACAGCCTTTAATGGGTCGGCCCTTCATATCTTGTATAGAATATGTTACCGGATTTGTTACATTCACTTTGACTATTTTAAATAACTCAGTCGACCAATTTGCTGTGTATCCTTTTTCAAAGACCCCCTTGTATTTACTTATGCGGACAGTGTCACCAACATGGAATTTTTTCTTTTTGGGCATGATCTTAAGATGATTATGTACATTTAACCGCGTATAAGGTGTCACATCCACAGGTCTCATTCCTATTGTACGATGCTCTGTATTATTGTATTTATATGTGATTTCCGGAAGAATCTTCAACCAATTATAGTGGCCTCTAATCGAAAATTCTTTATATAGCCACCCTTTTAATGTTCGTACTACTCGCTCCATGATTGCTGCCTTTTTCGTGCTATTTGTGGAATAATGATTGATTCCATATTCTCTCATTAGGGACCCAAATCAATATATATTAAAATCTGATAGCTCCGTCTGCGTCGCACGATCGGCTCGAAAAAGAGCCGATTTGCAGTGGAGTCAGCTCCCCCGAGGTGCCGCGTAGCGGCACCCGGGGGGGCCCAGAGGGCCCCCCACGTTCTCCACGTCGCTTAGGGGTATTCCGGTGGAGGTCCTTCCGCTCCTTCCTACCTAAAATCCGGTTCTCCCGGAACCCTACGGGGGGCGTGGCCCAATTTTTGTGTGAGAAGCGATAGTCCGACACGCCTACTTTTTGATGAAACCTGACGATCGCCTCACCGGTTTCCTCTATTCAATTTTTATTTTACCCTTTTTACCTACGTTATTTGTTTAAAGCCGCGCGGAAAATACTCATATTTATCGACCGGATGCCTTTTTCAAACCTTTTATGTAGAACTTTCCGCGAAATCACGCGCAGGATTCGAAATGCGGCCGTAAATACGTTAAAATGCGCTCTCTCGCCGGCTGGAAAACGTATACTTTACCACACAGAATTCTTTTTCCGCAAACCGCGGAACGGCGTGCAACTGGGCATGAGATGTCCATTCGATCATCTTTAATCGTCCGGAGGCATTTTTGTAACGTTCTTTTCGCTTTTTCATATTTAATTTTGCCTCTTTTTGGGGTCCACTCGACGACAGACGACCATTTCACAAGCCGTAAAGATTGAAGCTTTAAGACACGCCCACCCGGAGAAAATTCGAATGTCGCTAGAAACGTCAGATTAATTATGTCAAAATAATTTCACACCAAACGCGAAAGACGTCTGTAGGGTCGCGGCGAACCGTTATTTTACATTACTAGGCCTTTTTTAACCTTAATACATTGCTACGCCACGACATGTACAGGTATTTCTTATTATTAGGTTAGGTTGTTATTTACATTTTGGTAGCTCTACCTCTTAACATGCCTACGATTACGATATCTGTTCCCCGAATTAACGTAAGTACTTGCCCTCTAAAACTGCATGATTTTAAACCAATCCATAGTACCTAAACCCTTCAACCTTTGTATTAGTACAATTTGCTTCGTTAATTACTATATTGCATTCGTATTAGGTACTCCCCAAACGTCAAAAGTTAAGAATCAATAGAAATAAGTTGGGGTTAAAAACTCTTCCAAGTCATGGGATGTCGTTATTTATCTGTTTTATCTCATTGTGGATCTTTTGCGAGACGACGTTGTGTTAGAAAAATGCAAATTTAACATTACAAAAATTGTTGATTACTTCAGCTGTGAACGACGACACTACGCGCTCAAGCCAGATTGGAAAACTACCATTTTGGCGGACGGACTGGGTTTCTCCGCGAGATCCGAAGCGGCATAACCGCGCCTCATCTCCCTTCGTTCGTCGCTTAATGAAATTTTTGCAACTTTATATTCGCGTTTTCAAATGTACCTTTCTGGGTGGACTTCTCACTGACATACGGCCATTTTATAAGCGAAATAGAGATTCAACCAGCCCTGAACGCAAATCGACGAAAATCTAAAAATCACGAAGAATGTCAGATTGAAACGTCAAAATAAATTTCGCTATATTTGACGTTTCCAATTGAGGTTAGAATATCACAACGAACCATAGATCGATGGAAGGAAAATACTAATTGATATTTGACGTATTCCGTAAGTAATTTAGGTTAGGAAACCAGACGGGACCATAGAACTTATAAACTACTGGATTCGCCCGACTGTCATTTTGCCAATATAAACGGCAATGGCATAGACGTGTGCGAGAGAGATAGAGCTGGTGCGGGCTAATGCTTCGTTCTTAAAACTTCAAGTATCGCGCGAATTAAATTGAATTTCTCTTCTTTTAACAATACATATTTGTACGACTAATTTTAATTAATTATTATTAACGAATAAGAGCATAAGCACTCTTTGTTTATATAGAATTTTTGTACAAATTGGAGGTATTAAAGGGGGAATGTAATAATATTTTTTTTTAAATCTTTTCATGAAAAGTTATATAGTTGCTAACCAAAGGGTTTTTTGAAAATCCATATACTGCATGTTCTACATAACTGACCCAAGTCAAAATTATCGGTCTAGAGACTTCTGTATATTTCAGAAATTTATTGTCGCAATATTTTTATAAAAAATCTTATATTGTAGAACTCAGAGGCATTTTGCAAATTTATATACTAAGTGTTTCATAAAAATGACAGGCGGACTAGGATTTTTTTCTCATTTCACTACCTACCTAAATTTTCAAATAGATATTTCCACACACGGTGTCAAATGTTTTTTGCAATTTATGTACGGGATGTTTCATAAAACAGCCGCTTTTTAGAAAATCCATATATGTACTGGGTGTTCCATAAAATTGATCCATATCTGAAACGGGCAATTTTTATCCTTTTCACTTTTAACTTTGTCTTTATTTACTAAAGTCTTTTAATGAAAAATTGTATACTTATTAACCAGTTGTCTTTTTGAATTTTTATACTGAGTATTTATGACCAATAGAACGAAACTTTCCTTAATGTTTTTTTCCTTTTCTATATTTTGTACTGAAGTCTGCAATATTTTTATGAAAAACCCGACTAACCAGGTGTTTCTTGCAATTTATGTACAGGATGTTCCATAAAACTAACACAGGTGTACCAGATTTTCCCTTATTCATTTTGTTAATCTTTTGAAAAAAATTCGCTTTTTTAAAAATCCATATACTAGGTGTTCTATAGAATTAAGGCCGTTTTATTTCTTTTCACTTTTAGCTTTGTCTATTTACTACAGTCTTTTAATGAAAATTTATATATTTATCAAGCAGATGTCTTAATTAATTTTTTTACCATTTCTGCCTTACCTACGTGTTTTTTGGATGAAAAATTTTATATTTACTAACCAGTTGCCTTTTTGGAAGTTTGGAACAAACTTTTCTTATTCTTTTCTCGAACGTGGCCTACTCTTTTTTGAAAAACATTCTCATCATACTTTTATATACAGGGTGTTTATCTACTAACCAGCGAGGAAAGCACGCAGCGCGGCCCGAGGGCCGAAGGCCCGAGAAAAAGGTCAAACTCCGCGTCAGCGGAGTTTGCCTGCCTTTCTAGTATTTTATTATAAAATTCCACTCCTTGATTCGTTTGTATATGTCTCGGTCTATAGTTAGCTTCTTTTATAATATCCCTCATGGCAGCAGAAACTTCTGTAGCGGCTTTACTTTTAATGGGTCGTGCCCATACGTATTTAGAGAAGCAATCTATTACAATGAGAATGAATCGATTACTTCTATTGTCTTCAGCATATAGTTGCATATCTGCCAAATCTGCTTGCCACAAATCCCCATACCCTTTTATTATAGTTCTCCTCCTTCGAAAATTTCGCCTTGCTGCCTTATGTAACTCCCCCGCCACTTGTATTTTTTCAGCACTAGCTTTCATGATGATATTTTGAGTATCACCTAGCTATAAAATAACCACGATTATAATATCCGCCTGCCCACCTTGAAGCGTTTTAGCACTATTGTTTGATTATGTGTCTATTTCCCATTAATGTAGTATTTTTTATGAAAATCCATTTTTCCATACACCAACTATTGTTTTGTTATAACACTTGCGTTGAGTGCCATTAATACATTATACCTTCCTCCCTCAGTTCTTCTATTATGCTCAAAATTTCATTGATGTGACCTGTATGACCAGCCGTTTTAGAACCTCACAGCAGTCGCAATCGATCAACTAGTTCCCTCGGGTTGTTCCAGTACACATAGTTTACACCTTTAGAACTAACTTAACACTACCCGACTTTAAATATTTTGATACTAAAAATGTGAAAATTGACCTGGGTATAGATCAAAACATTTGGTTTAGGGAAAATGTTACGGATAAAATTTTAAAGTAATTGGAAGAATCACTCATACTGTATGAATATGAGTACGTGTAAAGTCAGGCTACCTACGGAAGATAAAAAAGATCTTAGATTTAAAAATTATAATAATAAAGAAAAGGTTCCATTCACCATATACGCAGATTTTGAGAGCGTGCTGATGAAGGTGGTTGATGATAAGAACTACCAACACCTCGTACCTGTAGCAGTAGGCTACTACGTAAAATGCTCACATGGTCTCTCGCTATCTTTTTATCAATCTCATCGTGGTGAGGAGTGTAAGATAAATGTAATGATTTCTCTATTAATTCACCCTCGGGGTCTACAGTTTCTCAACGTTAACATATATTCAAACTCTCTATATCAGCCTAAATACGAATTCCTCCGTAAAGCATTAACATCAATCGAAGGTTTGAGATTCTACACATACGCTAACGGTGTAGAAATCATGGAGCCCCAGGAAGCTAAGTCAGATTCCATATTTATATTCGACGATGTAATGTGTGAAAAACAGGGCTTACTTCAGCGTGGGACGTCGTACACCGGTTAACAAACGGACATTATTCATATGGTATGCCTTATCTTCCTCCTCAAGATAATAATTGGCATTTTCGAGTTCGATCCATGCTGTAGAATTCAACTCCCATAACAATCCATCAATTGGCAGATTTAAATGTTCCCACTCTTGTACGGACATCATTCAATGGGATAGAGGTTCACCTAAAACATTTATAAAAAAATAAGACATTTTATTTATCGCAGCAGAAATATTGAATTACCTGACTATATTAAATATTTATTATGCGGTGTTTGAGAATAATAGTATGAAGTGACGTAGCCAGCGATCTTAAATATAATAATTAAATTATTTCCACCAATACTTTCAGTTTATTGCTAAAAAATGTGTCTATCCTTAACAGAGATTTTGGTTTTAAGCCAACTGATGTCGGTGAACTCTGACCCAAGTAGGTCAACGTATACTGCCCCTGCGAGGAATTGATATTTTCTATAATATCCCGTGTTAAAATTGTTTCTATTCTTTATGGGAAAAATGATTTAAAAGGAATACCACTATCGATATCGAACAATATGGCTAAAAGAGATTTTCCATACCGTGTATTAACCGCTTGAAACTTTTTTATCACATATGATTTATCTTTTATTAAAGAAGAAAGTGGTTTTAATTCATAAACTTCCGTATCACCGCTAATCATATCATTATGGATCAACAATTTCTTAGTTTCATCCTCATCTATAAACTTACTTTTTGCCATCTTTTGATTAAAATATTGTTTTTATTTTGAAAATAATTTGGATTTGAATTTATTTTTTATGTGTTTGTGTCATTTAGTAAATTTAACATTTTTGAGTTATAATCAGAAGTATTAATTATGACGGTTTTATTACTTTTATTAGGTTTAAGGATAGTAAGTGTCCTTCACCGTGAGGCTTTGGCAGCCAAGCACCTTCCTGATGAGTTAAAAGAAGTCCTCGACGAGAGTGTAAAAATTGTGAATTTTATGATCTCGCGAGTTTAAGATTCTTTGTCAAAATACGGGTAGTCTTCATGATAACTTGCTATTACACACTGAAGTTCGCTGGCTTTCACGTGGAAACGTGCTGGTCCGTGTGTTTGAGCTCCACAAAGAATTACATCTTTTCTTCACAGAGCACAAATCTAATTTATCATCAGTACTCATTGACTTTGATTGGCTTTTAAAATTGGCTTATTTGAGTGATATTTTTGAATAACTGAACATCTGGAATAAGTCTATACAAGGTAGTGTTTCTGATATTTTCTATGTTGAAAACAAAACAAGCGCAATGCTTAAAAAAACATTGAACTCATTTTTGAAAGAAAACGAAAAATGCATATCTGCTTTTGCTGACCTTAAAACTCAAATTGGACATCACCTCAGCTCATTGAAGACCAGAATAAGAGAATACTTCAAACCCGCAGACAAAAAGTTGTACTGGATCCGTGACCTCTTTTCGTTTGATGCTATTGAAACTTTGAGCAACCTGACAACATTCCAGAAGGAACAACTGATTGAACTATCATGTGATCCGACGTTAAAAAAATATTTGAGTGCTACGTTGTTAGATTTTTGGATCGGTGTTGGAAAGGAGTACCAAGACCTTTCAAATACTGCTTTAAAGATTCTTATTGGGTTTTAAACTACATACCTACGTGAAAGAGGGTTTTCGAGATTAACGTATCTAAAAAGTAAGTACAGAAACAAGCTTAATGTTGAGGACGATTTAAGGATGTTCGATACATCTCTTGCGGGACAGGCGGTGCGGGAGGGAAGCCTATGCTTATACACGGTAGTTTCGTTGTAGTACCAACCTTACATAAATTAATTTGTGTGAACTAATTATAATATATACGAATGAAATTTATACAACACATATTAGCTTGCATATATTTTTCGTGTTTAATGCACGGCAATTAACTTTTTATTTGAATAAAAGTGTCTATTTATTCATTAAGAGCTTGTAAAATTATGGATGAAATCTGGCAACATTGTTATGGCGTGGTGGTAAAAGTTGGGTCAACTGTCATTACTGTCAACTGTGCGCTTATTCCGTAAACATGAATGAACATCCAAGGTACAAAGGAAAAGTAATTACTGAAAAGTAATATAAAATGCGTATGAAACAGAATGTGGATTGACGAGAAAAAAGTAAAATGTGCAAACCGAGAATCTATATGATAACTATCAAGAAGCTCAGTGTATCATAATGAGACGTCGCCTTGTCAAATTGAAGATTGTGACAGAACACCTATACTGTTCGTTTTGCAAAGAGATCCTTTCAATGTTTGTTTCAAATTGCTATTATATTGCATTAGATCACGAAAAATTTATTTAATATTAATTATTACTACATATGTTTTCGACTGGAATAATTTTATAGTCTATAATCGAATTATTCAAATATAGCGCGTCAAAGTCAAAGCGTTAAATACAGCGTACAGTGTTGCCGTATTTTCTTTCATTGGATCAGATGTTTGTTCGAATTTGCCAAAACGTTATATATTTATTCCATTATCTCAATATTTACATTGTAAGTGCATATTTTTATTGTTTTAAAATGTTTAGTAATATTTAATTCTTTAATTGCAATTTTATTTTCCCAATCCTAACCATGTTTAAGAGCAATATTCACGTTTGATTAAAGTTTTTGCCCCACCTCCCATAAGAGCATAATTTTTAATATCATTTTTCAAAAAAACTACATTGGCAATCGACCTGAAATTTTTACACGAGATAGTTTGCATATTTATTAACAGATTTCAATTGATTTGAAAACTTTCTTACCATTTTTTTTCGGTATCGAACCTCCTGAAGGTTATTCTTGAGCCGAACATTGAGGAACTGTGTAAAAAGAAGTAAGCTCATCCTTCTCATTAATTTTTTGTAATGCGTTTCAAATATATTTCCAAATATATTGTGTTTTTGATGTAAAAAGTGTTTTTAATTTAAAACCTAAAAATATACAAAAACATGCGATTACATTATTATCAAAAATAATTAATTTTGTTTGTACGTACCTAAACATACAATTTTTAAAAATTAAATTGTTAAAAATATATTGGAGAATTTTTTATTTTGTTTGTCATCTTTCTTTTTTTTCCTTATTTTAAAATTAACTTCCATTTGCATTTTAATTGGAAATTTGTTATAAATAGTATTAATTTCAATTTCAATATATAGGTATGATTTCACAAAATTTAGAAAACAGATTAAAAGGTCATAAATATACAAAAAAACTGTTCAACAGCTCTTAATAAACATATAAAAGATAAAAAACATTTATTTAATTTTGATCAAACTAAAATTTTAGTCAAAGAACCAAATTACAACAAAAGACTAATTCAAGAAATGATTCATATTAAAAAAATTAAAAGTAGTATTAATGACAAAACTGATATTAAAAATTTAAGTCAAATATATTATAATTTAATTAAATAAACGTAATTATTTTCAATATTTTAATATACTTATTTATTCACAAATCGTTTTAATAAATCCAATTTTTGAATTTTATATTTTCTGTACTATTTTATTTCTGGTCCCCAATGAAATCTCCTAGATGTCTCTTGTTTTTCATTTTTACAAAAATTTGCCAGCAGGCGTACAACTTGCTCAAATTATCGCGTTTTGTTTCTCATGGCAGTGTCATCGTATCCACATATCAGCATTGAAGTTTTCGAAATTAATACTATTTATAACAAATTTCCAATTAAAATGCAAATGGAAGTTAATTTTAAAATAAGGAAAAAAAAAGAAAGATGACAAAGAAAATTAAAAATTCTCCACTATACTTTTAACAATTAAATTTTTAAAAATTGTATGGAATGGTTGTTTAGGTACGTACATACAAAATTAATTATTTTTGATAATAATGTAATTGCATGTTTTTGTGTATTTTTAGGTTTTAAAATAATTTGACTTGTAATATATGTGATAATTAAAAATCTTTTGATAAAGTTCCCGATCGGGAACGAAACGTTAAGAGCAAAAAGTTTTCTGGTATTTTCTTTCTTCATTTTTTAATGGCCTATCAGACTAGAACCCTATACCCAAGAAAATAAATATATTCGATTATTTAATAAAAGGTTCAAGAAGTTATCCATTTATACAGGGTGTCTTGTTGATGTTTCAAAAATACTTGTGTGCAAGTTCCTCATGGAAAAATAATAGGGGTAGTTCATATAAAGTTTTTTTCTTAGACGCCCTGTTTTCGAGGTACAGTGTGTTGAAGTTGTTACTTTTCAAATGGTTTTCCTTAATTATGTTTAAATCGACTACAGATAAAAATGTCAAAATTTGTACACGAGTAAACATCAACTGTGCGTTAAGAATAATGTGCAAACGGTTTCTTTCTGAAAAGCAGTGTCGCCGATACAGGTAATTGGAGGGGTACAATCGGAAAAAATATATGTTGAAAGTCAAAATTTATTAAATTTCTAAACGGTTCTGTAAACTCTAAAGCATACTACAAAAAAGGTATACTTGTCGAAATTCGGTAGTATGTACCATTTTCGAGAAAAATGAAGTTGCATAGAAGGAAATGGGGGACAATTTCAGTATCTACTGTCGTATTTCGAGTTTGCACATTTATTTAATTGTGCAGCTGTTTTGTTCTGTCTGTTTCCTAACATTTTTCTGTTTTTATCACTTTTTTTAAGCATTCATGTCCATCAACAATTCAGTCCATTCAGCAATTGTTTATTTTAATAGGTAATGGTAGTGTAGTAGTTTACAAAATCTAAAATTGTAAAACAAATAATAGATAATTAATTACCATAATATGTTTATTTTGATTTACTTTTGTAAATGTTACTTTACAACAATCTGAAACTTACAGTAAATTTTAATTTTTTTTTAGTTAATAAAATGTTTTACAATTTAACTATTTCATGTGATATGTAAGAAATTAAAATTATAGTCTTAAATGCAAATACTGTTGGTAGCTAAATGTCTGCAGCTCATTCAATGGTAAGGTCTTCTTTCAATGC